GCCCGGCCCGGCGCGGGGGCACCTGCTCGCGTTCTCGCAGGTGGGAAGCCGAGGCCGGCCGGCAGCGACGGATGAAACGGGTCGCTCTTCTGGTGGGGAGAGGCCACACAAGCTCTGCGGCTGGCCTCTGTCCTGCCCGCACAGTCGTCCGAAGCCAAGAAACGGCGTTTCTCCGCCGACTCACCGGCGCGCTCGTCCAATCTCCACACGCCCCTCGGTTCCTCCCTCCCTCCCTCCCTCTCTCCCTCCTTCCTCCCGCTCTTTCACCCAAGCATCATCCTGTCTATTCTTCCATACGCTTCTTCCTCTTTTCATCCCTCCTCCCGCCTAATTTTTACTAGTCTGTCCATTCATCCATCCGTTTATTCAGCTGCCTTTCCATCCGTCTGTTCAATTTTCCACCCACTCACCGATCCATCTTTTTATCACTCCATCTCTCCACCTATTCATTAACCCATCTTTTCTCCTAACCAACCATCCATCCATCCACCCAGCCTTCCATCTATCCATCATCCTTCCATCCGTCCATCCTCCCACCTGTCCACCCATTCAGCCTCCCATCCATCCATCCTTCCACTTATCCATCATCCTTCCACCTGTCCTTCTGTCCTTCTGCCTATCCATCCAACCTTCCACCTGTCCATCCATTCATCCTCCCATCCATCCAACCTTCCATCTATCCATCCTTCCACTTACCCATCATCTTTCCACCCATCCATCCATCCTTCCGCTTATCGATCCTTTCACCTATCCATCTATCCTTCCACCCACCCATCCTTCCACCTTTCCGTCCAACCTTCCATCTATCCATCCATCTATCCTTCCACCTGTCCATCCATTCATCCTCCCATCCACCCATCCTTCCACCTATCCATCCAACCTTCCATCTATCCATCCTTCCACTTACCCATCTTTCCACCCATCCATCCATCCGTCTGCCTATTGATCCTTTCACCTATCCATCTATCCTTCCACCCACCCATCTTTCCACCTTTCCATCCAACCTTCCATCTATCCATCCTTCCACTTACCCATCATCTTTCCACCCATCCATCCATCCTTCCGCCTATCGATCCTTTCACCTCTCCATCTATCCTTCCACCCACCCATCCTTCCACCTTTCCGTCCAGCCTTCCATCTATCCTCCATCCATCCTTCCACTCATCCATCATCCTGCCACCTATTCAACCGTCCTTCTGCCTGTCCACTCATCCTTCCACCCACTCATCCTTCCACCTATCCATCCAACCTTTCTCCATCCAATTCATTTCATAGATATTTCTTTCCTTCCTTTCACCCATCTACCCCTCTTTTCTTGCCTTCTTCCACCCATCTCTGTGTTGATCCATACAGCAGTCTCATCATTCCACATTTAATGGCTGCTTTTTCAGTACTGAACTTTCCCCTGCACTGGGGTCCCAGATGGATCACACCGTCCCTGGAAAACTTACAGTCAAGTGGCAGCAGCAAAGGAGCAGGCATATGCCCAACAGCTCACAGCTGCTATAGTGGAGCCACAGGGGCTGAGAGCAGGGAGGGCTGGTTGTTTTGGCCTGAAGAGTGCAACTAGAAAGGCCTCACCCAAATGACATCCTCTGTGGGCAGAGTTGTGGGGAAGAGAAAAACAAAATCTTAGCCCACACGTACTATGTGCCAGCTTGTAAGGTACCTTATTTAATCCTCACAACTCCGTCTTAGTGCAACTTTAGAGTCAGGAAACAAGTTCAGAAAATGGGCTCAGAGTGGAGTCAGTCTTGGGCTTAAATCTTGACTTTGAACCATGAACTGGGATCACTACTGTCTCTCTGGGCCCAACACAGAATCTGGCCAAAGCAGGGTCTTGACAAGCTTAGTAACTGTGTGTTTTAAAACAACTTGATGAATACTGTATTTACTTATGTATACCCCAATGTAACTATCACCCAGACCAAGTTATAGATAATTTCCAGCACCCAAGATGTCCCCTATTGCCTCCCCACAGAGTAACCATTATCCTGACTTCTATCACTAATAATAAGTTTTGCCTGTTCTTGAACTTCATATAAATGGCATTGTAACAATATACACTCTTTTGTATCTGGTTTCTTTTGCCCGATATTGTTCAAAAGATGCTTCTTTTTGGATATAGCTGTAGTTCATTCCTTCTAAATTTATATGTAGTAGTCTGCTAGACAACTGTATCATAATTTATTTGCCCATTCTACTATTGATGGACTTTGGGTAGTTGCCAGTTTGGGGCTACTATGAATAAAGATGCTGTAATATTCCTGTACATCTTTTGTCAAACATAAGCACTCATTTCTCTTGGAGCAGAATTGCTGGATCTTTTTTTTTTTTAGTCTGAATCTCACTCTGTCGCCTAGACTGGAGTGCAGTGGCACGCTCACGACCACCACAGCCTCAACCTGCTGGGCTCAGGTGATTCTTTTGCCTCAGTCTTCCAAGTAGCTGAAACGACAGGCATGCGCCACCACACCTGGCTAATTTTTTTTTATTATTGTAGAGGTGAGACCTCACCAAGTTGCCCAGGCTGGTCTTGAACCCATGGGCAATCCTCTCACTTCAGCCTCTCAAAGTCCTGGGATTATAGACGTGAGCCACCATGCCTGGCTTTTTTTTTTTTTTTTTT